GAAGAGAATGAATGCTTCTCCTTTTCTTTTTAAAGGGAAAAAATGTGTGTGAGAGAGAGAGGGAGAAAGAAAGAGAATGCACAAGTAGGTCAGTGTGGAAGGGAGTAATGAAAATGATACTGGCAGATCATATTGGTCTAAATCTCATTCACCAGTTCCGCATTCTCATGGGCCTTGGATATGGGTAGGTCAACAACCTACCACTCATGACCTGCACCCCATTTGCAGCAACACAACACCCCAAGTTTGCACTCATGAAAGCTGGTTACAAGATAGCTTATTTTCAACAAAGCAATTATAAAAATTCAGGTAGAAATAGAAATGTTGGCCTCTCGCTTCCATTTCCACCCTTAACTCCCATCTCCATCCTTAAAATGGCCTAGAATTGTGTCATCAATATTATACCATTTTATCACCGAATTTCAGCAGTCTAATTCTGACCCCATTTGCAGAAATTGGAAGGTTTTTTTTTAATGGTGTGAAGGTAGGGGTTTTCTTCCAGATGCTTGCATTCCTACTCTTAACTCTCAACACCAAAAAAGAAGGGGAAAAAAGATGACTAAGAAATAATCAAAAAGACAGTGGGAAACCCCAGCCTTTGCTATAACTTCACCAACTTTTCTATAATGTCACCTGCAGCCCTCTGTCCCTGTCTACACTGAATAATGGCTCCTGACCTTGAGAAAGTTGGCCATCCATGTGTTAGGAGAACCCAGGTTTCCCCTCCATCCTGCAGCCTTTTATATCCTTGGCTAGAAATGCTTGCTGAGTTTTCCCTTTAATTCTCATCCCATAATACAAAAATAAAGATTCTGTGGCTCATGAAATTATTACAAAAGCCTTCTGCAAGTCATCAAGTAAGACCTTTGGCAAGAATGCTACTTTCCTCCCCTAGCAGCTTACTTTGGAAAAAGAGAGGGAGGGGGAGAAGAATTTAAGAGCTGATCTACTATTTTGCTTTGGCCATAATCAGCATGGGGACCCAAAAGAAAAACTGCAGGTCTCTACAAATATTGAAAGGAAGCCAGCTATGCAAAGATCCTTGATTTGTCATGAGGCTTCCAAGACTTGGAAAGGTAGTCATGGCCACGACACTCATACCCACACGGCAACCCTTATTGCTTCTTCAGCCAATGACTGGCACCTACTTGCTGGTCATTCAGATTCCTTGCCATTCTGATGCAGAATAAATTCCTTACAGTTGAGAAGGGTGCAGTTGACAGACTTTAGAGAAAGCTGCTCTTTCTGATTATTGCATGTTTAGTAGCAGACAACAGCCAAAACATTCCCCTTTTGATCCTTTGTCTTGAAAGGAATGCTGTAGACAGGATGTGGAGATATGGTCCAGGGATGGGCAACTTTCCCAGGGCCAAGGGCCTCCATTTGCTCTCTTGATCATCTGTTATATAATATGCCAGGGGATATTATAGAGGGGATGCCTTATGCTTATCATCTGTAAAATAACATAACCAACACTAAGTAGGCAGGAAGCTGTTCAGTTGGCTTGTGTTGCATTTGAGTAAATTAAATTTCCCATCACAATAAATGTCTTTTTCAAGTCAACAGAAGTGAAAGAAAAGCAAAACCTGTCCATTTCTTGTGAGTATGGTGTCTGTAACAGCTGCACTTAAGATTCCCCTCTTCATTGGAGTACATTAATCAAAAGTGAGCATTGCATATAAGAGGCTGTAGCTTTATGACTATTATAAATTTTAGTCCACTTCTGATTCAAAGCAAACTACTGATCGGTAACAGCTGCTCAACCAAAGGGCAGATCACATGTTCCTAATTCTTATCCCTTGGCTTTGGTTCATTCCAGCATAGACCCAGCTGATTGCTTGCAACAAACACCTAATTAATCCAACATGCATTTAGCCCCATTGAGCTAAAAAGAATGGGAGACATTTTTAATGTTTGCCAGTTGAATTCTCTTCTTTACACTTCATTCTATTGTTTTTCTTGAATACCATGTTACAGAAATGGACCATTAACCCCACATCTAGAACCATAGCTATTGATTAAGATTAATTGTTGCTTATCTATATTGTCCTCCACTTTTATGCCCTCACTTAAACAATATTCCTAGGATTGCTCTGTAATTAGTTTGCCCAGAGGAATCTATCAATGCAAGAACTTTGGCCAAATCACCTGTGCACAAAATAATTATCTCCTGCAGATGCTGTACAGTAAGGAACGGCTGCATTCCCATTGCTTCCACTCTCTGAGATGCATGGCTGTCCTGCATGGTTAGGCAAACAGAAGTACTATTTGAGGGTAGCAGAAATGCTTCTTGTACTGCTGTCTAAAACAGCAGATTAATGTGTCTAGTCTTCAGCTAGAGAGCTGGACTTAAGGAGGCAAACGTAATTTGTGGTTCCACTCCTAGCAGCACAAAGTCGCTTGCTGAGATGAGACTAATCCAAAGAGACACCATTTCAAGATGTAATTGTTATGTAACAGAGCATGATGTACCAGCATATTCCAAGAGTCCTACAGTGCCAAACTATAACTGGTTGAGCAAAACTTCAGAAGTCCTGATGTTGTTTCCTGTCCAGAATGTAAGCATGTTGTTCAGGAACAAAACCAAAGAAAAATGCAAGGAGTGATAAGACATTTGCACTCACATTTTCAGTGCCTACAAGCAAAGGTCATTTGGATCTTGATGGGAGGAAGTTCATGCAATTTTTGTTGTTACTATTTTTAATATTTAACACGTGTGGATGTATGTAGGGGTTTTCATGATGCTTTTTTAAAATGTATGTACTCATTCTTACTATCTTTTAAATGCATTGTGTTGTTTTGTGGTTAGGAAGACTTAACATCCTTTTTAGACGACAGTATAAATCAGACAAGAACAAAATTAGTTATAAACATTTCTTTTCGAAAAACTAGAACCAGAAACTGGAAATGTCAGGACAAAATTTCAGCTGTCTTAGCCCACTGCAGTTTCAGTAGCAACATAAACATTTAAAATAATAAAGCAGGTCATTATACAGAAAGGGTGATGATGATAATAGGTTTGGTGAAGTCAGAGCTGAATGTTCAAACTCCTTTAGATTGCAGTTTTATTTTTATTTTTTTCTTTTACAAAAGTTTAATTTTATTTAATACCTCTTTTGATCAGTTTTGGGGAGAGCTTTCTTATGAGACAAGACAAAATCCACATGTTGTTTCAGAAATAAATCTTAGACACATCCCCAATAGGGACTTAAGAACTTAAAACCTAGTCCATATCTGTATCTTTACTAAATAAAAAGGCAGATGTCATCTGCAATTAAGAAAAGGAAGCTGGGTACAGAATCTGTATGAAAAAGTCTTTTGAAAACATTTAAGTGAAGAGATCAAAGAGTGGTAACAAGACTGTGTCTTCCTAAAGGAGCAGAGGGAGTTAAATTTAGGTTTTCAGATAAATTACCTTGTAAACATAACAGCTGCTTTAGTACTAAGTTGTTTAATTTACTTGTAATACAGATAGTATTATATTTGTGGTTATGCTTATTGGGGAAGCAGAGCTCCCTTGACACCCATCTGTAATCCTAAAATTTGGAAGTGAAAGAAGAAAGTTACCTGGTGGAGTCTCCAGAGTTGATTTATCCTTTCTTGGTTTGATAGTTTTCTTTGATCTGAATTCTTTCTTGCCTGGTTTGAATCTTGGAGATTCCTCTATTTCTGCAGAGGGTTTCAAGACTTTTTCTCTTGGTCGTTCTGTGAAAGGTGACAATTCCTCATTGGGATCCGGAAAAGAATAATAATGATTCCTATTGATGATTTCTTGTAGGTAGTAATCCTGGTCCTCCATGGGGAGAGCCCAAGTTATAAAGCCAAGCAGTACCAGATCAAAATAACAAAACACAAGGTAGAACTCAGGAAAAGATATTTTCTTGAAAATGGGAATCATTTTCATTATTTTTATTTTGTGCTAAAACAATGTGACTCTGAAGCTCTGCAGACTAAGTTTAAGTGAAGAAAGAAAGAAAGAAAGAAAGAAAGAAAGAAAGAAAGAAAGAAAGAAAGAAAGAAACCAAGTTATAAAGCCAAGCAGTACCAGATCAAAATAACAAAACACAAGGTAGAACTCAGGAAAAGATATTTTCTTGAAAATGGGAATCATTTTCATTATTTTTATTTTGTGCTAAAACAATGTGACTCTGAAGCTCTGCAGACTAAGTTTAAGTGAAGAAAGAAAGAAAGAAAGAAAGAAAGAAAGAAAGAAAGAAAGAAAGAAAGAAATCTTATTTGCTAGTGAAATCTAAGATGAAGAGCAAAGTCTGGGGTAAGAGCTTCTGCCTGGGAGTAGTTTGCAAAAGTTGCAACTGATGAAGTCGGAGTGTGGAGTGGAAGCAGAGGGAGGAGGAAGCAGCCTGAGTTCATGTGATCAGCAGAGCTTAGCAGTCAAACACATATGCAGACATATAGGAAAAGAGACTTACTTGACAGGTGTGATTTTCCATCCAAATCTTTTAAAGGTATTGTTTTTCTCTCTCTGCCCCCCTGCTCCCCATTACAAATTCAGTTAAACTCATGGCTCCTAAGATGCTGTGTCTTTGAAGACTGCTATAATACTGAGTCTGGACATCGTTTATTCAGTAAAATGGGGGCGGGGGGGGAGAGAGAAAGTTGGCCACAAGCCTTAGTATGCAATTGCTTCTACAAATTGCATCTTTTGTCTTGTGCGGATTGTGTACATTGTAATGTTTTTAGATGAAACTGTAGAAAGGGGAAACATTTTTTCCTCTGATGCAGCCTGAATCCTCAACAGAATATTAAGATTGCATTCATGTGTAGGAAACAGGAAAGCAGACTCATGAAAATGTCTTTTACTCTTCAAGCATTGGATAGAAAACAGGTGCAGATCATCAACAGTATAGAAAAGTAATGCTTTTCATGTGTACAGTTTGTCCCCTTAACATCTGAGAGAGACTAATGTTGAAAGTTTATCCCCACAATAAACTGACAATAAGCACTATTGCTTTTCAGTAGAAATGAATTGGAGTACATTGTAAAGCGTAAACAGTTAAGATACTGGAAACTTTTAAACAGGATTTTTAGCTATGTACCTTCTATATTTTGTCCTGTTTGTATTCACAGAACTAAGCCAATATTTTTTTGGTTAGATATTTCAAAGGAACTCTTTAATTTTTTATTCCCTTTTAGAAAAATCCCCCTTTGCAGTTCAGATATCCATGGAATGGGAAACAATTTCTTTCAAGAGTAGAACAAAAGACCCTCTCCTGAATATTCCATCAGAACATTTCCAGTTGGGTGTATTCCAGTGAAAGAAACCTTAAAACAACTTCAGTATACAAAATTGAACAACTTAAGTGTTCTGGTCATAGGAATCAATGGGAACTCAGAACAAACCCCCTGCTCCTTTGATTTTCATTTTCAAAAATCCACAAGAGTATATAGTATAGTAGTCTATGATGACTACTGCCTGCCACCCAACCTGCATAAAAAGTAGTCAAGTGAATTATTTTTTAATCCTTTATGGGGTTTTATATTAATATTTTCAACTCTACCTCACCTTTTTAGCAAGTGCAACACGTTTTCTTCTGATTGTTTTAGCTGCCCTCCTGTATCACAGGCCCAAGTCCAGAAAAAAGATACAAAAAGTTGCCACAAAAGTACTGCTTTTTATTCTTAATAATACTAACAGTACATAGCATATATAGCTAAGATTGCTACAAATCAGATAAAAACTGCATTTAACTGTACTCTGAGGCTCAACATAACAGGGCACAAGAACACAAAAAGCTAAGCAAAACAACCCAAACCATCACAGAAATCTTTGCAGTTTAAAAAGCATTCTGAACAGGACACAATAACATGCACAAATCCCAATGCTTAGCAAATCAACCCAAATCTTCAACAAAGTACAGGTCTTTGCATTCAACATTTATAAACTCAGCAACATTAGCAACATTTCTGGATGAAGCATCACGGTACATGCCTGTGTGCACACATGTACACTTATCCCTTTGCCTTTCATGCTTCTTTTTCATTTCTTTACCTGCTTTCAAAAGAAGACAGAGCATGAAACACCCATGAATTCTAGATTTCTCATATAAATCATTAAAACATAATCAAAACAGTAATTTATTTACCCAGCAGGTAGGTAGGCATTTAAACATGCTGCTGCAAATATAAAGCAGTGTTGGAGGTTAAAGAGATCTATGTACATATGTAAGTATTCTCTGAGAGAAGGAATATAACCTAGGAACTAGTGAAGGAGGTTTTATAACTATAACATAAAGATTTATTTACAGAAAATACATTAACCTAGCAGTTAGGTAGCTATATCCATGTGCTCCATTTACAAAGTCCTGGGAAGAAAGGTAGAAGGAAGTGACCCGAGATTAGCAATTTCTGAAACAAAGAGCAGGCAGAAGGCTAGAGAGAGGAGACACACAGTAAACCCTACTGGTCGCTTATGGTTAATGAACTCCCTCGGCTTCACCTAATCCACAACAGAATATTACACAGCCTCTCCAGACTGTGGGGAATTGTTTGTCCAGTTTGCCAAATAAATGGAAGATGTATACTCATTTAATTCAGTGAATCACTTTTCCTCTTGAATGGAACTAGAAATTGTTGCAGGAACAAAACAGATGCTATTTTGTTTTCTGATGCTTTTGGCTTTTTACACAGGACTGAAGTGAATCATGGAATGCAGTCTAACATCTCCCTTTCTTAATCCAACTGAGTTGCAAGTGACCTAAACCACTGCTGCTTTTGGCTTTTTACACAGGACTGAAGTGAATCATGGAATGCAGTCTAACATCTCCCTTTCTTAATCCAACTGAGTTGCAAGTGACCTAAACCACTGCTGCTTTTGGCTTTTTACACAGGACTGAAGTGAATCATGGAATGCAGTCTAACATCTCCCTTTCTTAATCCAACTGAGTTGCAAGTGACCTAAACCACTGCAATGAAGAATCCTTTTCTTTTCTCCTGGTCTTACAACCAGATTCTTGACTGAGAACTGCATCTTGCTCATGATAGTTATGCAGATTATAGTTTTGCAAGCTACTGACTA